ATACGAAATTTGAAATGGAAAACCCGCTAAACAGAGAGCCAAAGTAGTTTTGAAGATTCTCGACCTGAATATGTGAAGATTGCGAAGCGTTTGATCAACTTTGAAGCGAGAGATGTTAACGTTGTACTTGCATGCCATGGTCTGATGAATTTCAACGCTACGTCTTGCTACTTGGTGAATAGCAATGTATCGATCAGAAATTTATTCATACAACTAAACCAACGTCTCAATAATTGGAAACTTACTTCAAAGTCGAAAGGCATCGTACAATGAAACTTTACAATGCGAGTATATTTGTAAAATTATGTGCAAGAATTTCTGTTCAGAATTTCCCGCGCAGGATTGTCTGATCCTGCACGGCTGTTGACCAATCAAATTGCGTGTTTCACTGTAGTTATTATATAACATGGATTACCAAAGTTATAACTATGTTTATTTGTTTCCGACTAATAGTCAAATAGTAAATTGTAAATATTTATAGTTTTAGACTATGTGATAAATTTATAAAATTATCGAGGGCCAATATTTCATCAAAGGTTTTCTCCAAAATAAATAAACACAAACACACAAACGAAATATGGAAATAGATTAAAGATTTACATACCCAGGAGAATATTCCGTTGTTCGTGTATCAAAACCGCCTAATTTGGTGTCAATTTTACCAACAGAAACATTCATGACAAAGCGTTCTATTTTCCGAAAAATGGAAATTTTGCAATCTTTTTGTGACGTCATGTAATTAAACATGTCTAGCGCGTGCGGCGTTTCGGCTCTTGCCAGTTTTTCAGCGAATTTGCACGTGCGAATCGAAAAAGCCCAATTAAAAACAATTAATTTTTTTCAGGAACTAAAATTAGTAGCAAGATTTTTTCCTTGAGCATTTATATTGCCGAATTTATCTTCTCGGTTTGCGCGAACAACTTCGATTCATAATTTCAGTCAACGACTCAACACTCTACCGAATCAAGCCCGTAGCTGGGGGGTTGGGGGGCAGTGCTTCCCAGCCCGGAAAAAAATGGTAAAAATACGTTCTTCTAGACCGGGAAGAATATTAGATTTGTCCATCATTTCTTTAAAGTGAACATAGAAAATCAACTTTCTAGCTATAAATGAACTGAACCAAACATGGGAGCTACAGCAAATATAATCTGATTAATAGTTTGTACAAAATGGTTTGCACAAATTGTAGCTTCGGCAAAAATATTAAAATCAGAAAGAACAAATTTTGTGGTTTGGGTAATAATAATAATATCGCGGGTTTTCTCTGGGTATTCTGGTTCCTCCCACGGGGAATGTTGCCAGGCTTGGTTGGGCGCTAAGATTAGCTGCTCACCTAACTGACCCTTCCACCGTAGCTTTTCTCGATCGGAGATCACCTGCCAGAGGCGCCCTTAACTTACTCAAGACCAAGTCACACGAGAATGATAAGATAAGAGTTGAGAAGCGAAAGTTTCCAAGTTGAGAGTTTCCCATGGGAGTTTTCTCAACTCTCACGTCCCGCTCAAACGAGAACAAGAGTTGCATGAGAGTCGACTGAATATTACCGCACGCACAGCGAAAACTCTCGTCAACTCTTATGAAAATTTAAACCAGCGCAGTGTTGATGAGAGTGCATGAGGGTCTAAGCACGTTTAGGATACCCATTCCATGACGCAATTTTATTCAAAAATTGCAATTATTAGGCTACAGCCACAAGACCTTGGTGTGTGTGACCACCACAAATTCTAGATCTTAACCTAGATGGTAACAAGTGTTCCATTTACCGAAAACATACATTCACAGGTCAATACACTCACTTTCACAGTTTCGTGCAATGGAAAATTGCATGGATTCGTTTTCTTTTTGTTGCAATTTCTTAATAAAATTGCGTCATGGAATGAGTATCCTAAGTGACAAAGACAGCAACACGACAGAATCGAACGATACTAGAACGGGTGAAGGAACATGCATGCGTACAAAGACAAGGAAAGTTCTACATATTAAAAGACGAAAATCAAGTCTAAATAGCGGACTAAACCCTAGTAGAGAGTTATAATTAATTAATTGATTGATTGATTGAGCATCCGTTGAATGAAAGAACTACGTGAACTGATCGCGAATAGAACGTTAATGATTGCTTAGTATATGTACATTTGCGCACGCTATAGCTTGTTTAAAAATCGCTTAGTGTTGGTATAATAGCATGGTTTCGAGTGCAATTTGGATAAGACATGCACGAGTGAATTCTTTAAAGACCTAAAAATAGGAGGGGTCCGAAGGACGAGTGCTATTTGAGGTCTTTGAAAACTCATGAGTGCATGTTTATCCAAATTTCAAACAATGCTATTACTTATCAATAATTTACATGCCAAGTTTTCCTGCCTTGCTTGAAAATTCCACTCAACTATGTAAGTTTTGTTAGTCTTGTTTACGTCAAACGGCAAACGCCAGGCAAAGAAAAATTTTACGGTATCAGGCAATAAAAAGTAAATGAATTTCCTGTTTTAAAACTGAAATACATAATTATTCTTTGGACGCAAGAAAGAAAATATGAAACGAAAACGTTCAACGAAAATTTTGCCAAGAAAGTTCGAACCTGCCGTTTGCCGTTCCCGGAAACGTGAAGCTTCAACTCCCTAATAGGAACGGGTTTTTTCAATCGCCAAACCACAAACCGCTGGAAAGCACGTGATTTGGCGCTCGCCGTCGCATTTGGCGTAAATTCACGACGTGCGCAACGGCAAGGTGGTAGTTTTCAGGTGAGTGATTCACCTCAAGATTTTAAAGAATAGATTTGCAATAATCACACGTTTCGAAAGTTGTTAAATGACAAATAGCATCTCAAAAGTAGTTTGGATGAACTTTTGGTCATGAAGGCGTAAAAATTTGGCTATTTGTGTGTTGTAATGCCAGTCATTGTTGACTACTTAAAAACAAACATGGCGCCCAATTCTGTGATTTTTAACATTAAGCATCTCATTGTTCTTAAATTTATGGTAGTTTTGCCTAGTTGTCGCTTATGTCGAGAGCTGGCGTTTTTGTTTGTTGTTTCTAAAAGCCAAACTGCTTGTTTAGGGGGGTAAGAAAAAACAACGAAGGTTTAAAATGCAATCTGTAGTTGAGATGCTAAACAGGAAGAATGAGAAAAAAACTGAATAGAAAGATAAAGAATTAGAGATTCGACAACAGGAATTGAATTTCAATAAAATTTGAGGTGGAAGCTGAAGAAAGAAGAGAAAGATATAAACCTATCAAACTTTCGCCCTATATGAATAAACATTTGCTCAAACTAGTGTCCAGTCGCTTAATGTGAAATTACAGACGCGCCATTGTAAGGCCCAGTGTAAGATTTGCTATGCTGAACTGGTTTTGTAATACCTTCTTTAAATAAAGTTCATTATTACTATTATTGTTATTATATGGCGGAGAGACCAAAGCCCGCGCTTCGAGATTTCCCAAGCATAAACTTTAATTATAATGAGGCAGAATAACTAAAAAATACATTTTGCTAAACCGTAAAATCACTACAATTGTAAATTGTTCAAAACGTATCTGGATTCTGGTATATATAAAGACATATAAGAGAGATATTGAGCCTAAGACGTCCCTTCGCCATCTCCTACAGCCGAGATCAAGTGAATTATTAACGAGCTTGTAAACACAAGCAAAATCCACATCTTTGCGCACATTTTGCCCTTCCTAAATCGCCATAAATAAACATGAATTTGCTATCAAAATGCGCCAAATTTCACGAAGACGTCAAATACTGGAGTCAAAGACCTGCGCATAAGTCCTAGTGCCAGTTTTCTTCAACAGACACTGCGCGAGGCGAATTTCCTATATAAATCATAACAAATAGCGCACAATCAAACGAAAAGTGCCCTTCGAATTAAGTATTATTTTCCCATAAAAGTACATTCAAAAAACGTCTACAAGCTTATTCTTTCCTATACCGTAGGTAACTGAACACAGATAAAATCGTAGAGCAAACGTAAGCGAAAAAACATCAAATTTTGGCGTGACTTGTATAGGCAAAAGTTGGAACTATGACACGCGCAATACGATATGACTTTTTGTTAACGCAAAGTTTGATATGCTCGAGTTTGAAGAAAGAAAGGCAATGTTGGAACTTCTAAAAAGCATATATAGCTTTAAATAGCCATGAAAATTGTTTTTTGTTACCGATTTGAGATGGTATGGAATCTAGTTTAAACTTTATGTTTTCAGTTATGATTCATTCATGGTTAAAAGCAATTTAGATTTGGCAATTTTAATTGCCATCTAGACTTATATTTAAGCAAAAAGGGGGGGGGGAAGGGGTGGAAGGTAGAAGGTCAAAGCTACTGCAGCTTCAAAATATAAAGTATAAACATCATATGATGTAACTCCGAACCTAACTGTGCAATAAAAATTGCAGCAGAAACACCAGTACATGTAAGCCAATGTTAAAAGGACTTGGAAAACATTATTTTCATGACATTGTTATTAACATTGTTATTGACATATATATTAAATTGTATATAATAGATCAGTTACAACAATAAACGAAAACATGACATAAAAATCTTCAGACATAAAAATACACAAAGTATATTTTCCAAACGTTTCGCCTTTTACGGCTTCTTCAGTGGAATGTTTTTTACAATAATATTTCAACATAAAACCAATTCACAGTCAATGCATTACACCATGGGACAGCCACGGGTCAATATCCTCTAAACGAGTCATAGTAACTGGGGAAGTAAACAGGGCTATTAATTGTTCAACTGATTCCACAACACAAAAGAAGTCACTTAATCTCATTACGGAGTTATTCACTGCGAATGGATATCCCAAAACATTCATTAAATCCATAATTATAGAAGAACGATTCATAAAAACAGACAACGGCATAACAAGCAAGATAACGAACCGGAGGAATTAGAACAACAGCAATTTACCTATGTAAAGCTACCATTCATCAATGAAGAATTTAAACGACAGGCTATAAGGGTAGTAAAGCGATCACGAATACCGACTTTAAGGTTACATTTTACCAACGGTCAACCCCTTTCTAAAGTTTTTGCTCCACCAAAGACTAAACAGAACTGCCAGGGCGAATGTGAAACGTGTAAGTTGTCTTCTAAACCGAACCTTTGCTTTAAGAAGAATGTAGTTTACAAAATCGAATGTTCAATATGTGGAATTGTTTACATTGGGGAGACCGGGCGAACAATTGGATCACGGATCAAAGAACACTTGACAATGGAAAAGCAGACGGTTTATAAACATTTGGAATCCCACAAGAAATCAAAGTTACCTACAATAAAGTGGAAGATTTTACATGCTAATATCGTGAACGACGGGGAGAGGAAATACGTCGAAGCATTTGAAATACAAAAACATTCTGGAGACTTGATGAACGGTTGTACTGGTAGAACAATTAGTGTTTGAACTATTTTAATCTATTAACATTGTATAGTACTTTAAACTACGGGACAATAAATCAGTTGCATGTTTGAATTATTTTAATCTATTAACATTATATAATATTTTAAACTACAGGACAATAAATCAATTGCATGTTTTGCCTATTTTTATTTACATTAGCATACTCATTGTAAATTTAGTATTTTAATTAGTTTTATATAAATAGGAGGAAATATTATTGTATACGTAAAAAACATTCCACTGAAGAAGCCGTAAAAGGCGAAACGTTTAGAAAATATACTTTGTGTATTTTTATGTCTGAAGAAATCTTAAAGCCAAGTTCATTAAAGTAAATTTAAAGTTTGTATCAGCATGTGAAATATGAAAAAATACGTTTTATTGTACAGAAACCTTACCTTTTTGCTGCTGCCATCTTAAATTTTGCAGTTGGTGGAAAATCTACACACATCGTTCGCGGGGTTAAAAAAGAAACGTCTATCTTAAGGTCCAATTATATTGTCTTTCAAACGTGAAACGGCCAACGGAAAACCGCAGTTTGCCGTTCGCGGGATAAAAAATAAACGACGTCAATCTTAAGGTGTCTATTATGTAGCAAGGCGCCGTGTTTTGAAGCAATCTATCTGTGACCGTTTCTTCTTTAAACTAAGGGAGTGTTGCTTTAGTGCAATCTGGATTTGGATTTTCAAATCCGATTATCGATTCTCAGTTTCATTTGACAAAATCTTAAAATAGATTCGAATCTGATGAATCAACCTCGACTTATAGTCTCCTACGCATACCTACTTAGCGGGCTGTGCCCTCACGTAAGGTATGCTTACTTTGGCAAAAAATTAGCCAATTATAGCTTTACTGGCTGCTCCGCCTTCTGGCGAGTAAACTGCATATTTTTGCATAAAAAACGCGGACACGTTACACTGCTGAGTGGCCCTTCTGTTACTGATCTTTATTCTGTGCTATTGGCTAATGGAATACAATAGGAAGGCGAATTGCTAGCGAAAGTAAGCAGACCGTACGTGGCGGGCCCAAACCCGCTAAAGTAGGTCTGCATAGGAGACTACTCAACTTATGGATTTTTCGGATTCAATCTGAAACTTAGGATTCAACGTTCCTTTTGAGCTTCTGGACCTTGACCTGACCGACCGCAAGGTATAGTACTATAGTGGGACAAAAAACGAATTGTCAAAATGGCGGAAAAACAGCAGGCGAAAGGTATACGTGATTCTTCCACATTTTTTGAATATTTAAGTATGTAAATTTATTTCTTCTTAGTGCAATGGCTTATAGTACCTCTATGAACAACTTGTCTATCATATTTTTTTAGAAACACCATCAAAATAAGTCGGTAAAACATTTGAAGCTCTGTGTATGAACCCGAAATGCAAGAATGAACGAAGGATTCCATGATCTTAGTGGTAAAGCAAGTGCATTTTATTCCTGATAATGAAGTTGAATCTGATGAGCAAAAAAAGATTACTGGTAAGCAGGAGAAAAAGAAAAAACGGAGCTTTGGTGAATGCCTTACAAAGGCCCAAGATGATCTAAAGGAGGAAAATAGGGAAAAAATGTTAAAAAAAGAAGAAATTCACCGGTAAAAAATGGAGCGTTTCGACCGCTTGCTAAATCTATACGAAAAGGATCTTTCTATGCAATTAAAGAAAGATTACTTGAATGACTAACTTCATATACACTTGTATATGAAAGTATATTTATTTATTAAAAGTCTATTTATTTATCAACCTGTTGCATGCATTTTCAAATATTTATTGTTCATATGCTTTTTCAAGCTTTTGAGTTATAAACAGTTTCAAAATTGTCATTATTGTTTGGAAATAAAAGATTGCATTTAAGTTAACTGTATTGTATTGTACCTTACCCAGTACCCCAACTGAATAGGTTGAAGTAGACCAGGCCGTCTCAAAATGTAGGGGTTAATCTAAGAACCATTGTGTTTGCGTCTGCTACCGAACTCTCTCTAATAAGTACCGAACTCTCTCTAAATGTCATTCTGAAACTTCTCCATCGCATCTGCCACACGTTCTCCTTTAGGCCAGGCAATAAATTGACCAGCTAAATTGTTTACAATAGCTATACAAAGCCGCTTTAAGATTCGAAACAGACATGACCTGGTAACGTTAAATCGATCAGAAACAGATCGCAATACTTCAGGATTGCCCAACACCCAAAGAGTTATAAGTAACTGTTTTTCTACACTTACTGGAGGGCGTCTTCTCAGGTGATCAGTAGGGATTTCTGGACGAGCCAACAAATTAACCAAAATTTCAGCACCACTTCGGGAGAGACGAAAATGTGAACGGAACCCGATATCCGAGTACGTTGGTACAATTAACTCCGCATATTCTCGTACACAAACCGCTGCGTGTCTTTCCATAATCCCAGACAGTTTTTCAACGAAAGCTAAAATTATTTCATCATTATACGACAATTGGCTTTCAACGAATTCGTCTAAAAACTCATCCAATGCTGCGAAAAATAATAAAGGAAACTTGGAAAGCCATGTCGGACAACAGCCATTTTGAATACTTTAAAAAGAGAAACGCTAAGCCGCCGAATGTACACACTCAGCAGTGACTATAGAAACAGGAAGTTCATCCGATTCTCACAATTCCGTTCCATTTGTTTAACAAATCCAAAAAATCCAAATCTAGATTTACAAAATAAACGCTCCCTATACTCCTTTAAACCACAGATATCTTATATACACTAGATAGTGCATCTAATTATTCTGCAATTCAAAAATTGAAGGCGTGATTGCAGGCTCAGGGTATTCCCATAAAATGAGAAGATTCGTATGTTTTCTATATCTTAAACAGGGAACTTAAACATTAAGTTAAACCTATTCCAAATACATTTTAAACTATTCAAAAATGATGAAAGTTACTGTTGTTTTTTTTAAGCGTTTATTAGCGAGTGGGAAACACCAACATGGCCGCCATCTATTCAATTGGGGGTAACCGCTGGAGTATTCTTGGCTTCAATTTTACTAAAAGAGATGCGCTATCCAGTGTATATAAGATATCTATGCTTTAAACTGATTGGTTGATCATATTGTTTTTCCACCATTCAGATCAGTTAATTTGTTATAGATTTTTGCACTGTGATTACAGAAAATTGCACTGTGATTACAGAAAATTGCACTGCTGTTTGTAATTAATTAACTGCACTGAAATCAACCAATCACCATCGCTAGAAATCGCGGACATTCGGAATACAGCATGCATTCTAGCCCCAGTCCCCATGTTCACTCTTATTTTCAAATTTTATCAGGAATGTAGATGGTTATCCACTTTTAACATAAAATATCTTTTAAGAATCATACTAAATTAAAATTGTGCATTGTGAAAACAAAATTCCGTGAACTAATCAAGGAAATAAGAAAGAAAACTAAAACCAATAATAAAATATAATGATTATTTACGATACTTAAAACTGGACAACAACGCAATTAAATGTGCGGCAGGGTTTCTAACTAATTTATCAAAACGACAATAATCCACATTTTACAAAGTCAAATTACGGCTTAATGATCGATGAACTTAAAAATGTGCAGTAATATTTAAATAATATGCAGATATTAGTATCCGAAACAATTGTTCGCATATCTTAATCTGTGGTGTCAATGTGTATTTGCTTCATTCCAAGTTTGCATAAAATCGAAGGTTCGTTTATTAGACACGATCATCAGGTTCTAATGTCAAGGTTTGGCGATGATTTTTTAGGCAAAAATGACCCAAAATATATCATTCGAAAGCTCTTTTCTTCTGTTTTTTGTTTGTTTACATTTTGTAATCCTTTTAGTATGATTACATTTTGTAATAATCCTTTTTGTAATCCTTTTAATAATGCTTTTAGTTATATTTAGAAATATACGTAAGGGATGTTTCAGGATTCAAATGTCCGAGATTTCTAGCGATGCACAGTCGAGTAATATTTTTATGCATATTTTTGCGCTTGTAATATAACGACATATCTTGCAAAACACTACTGAAGATGAATCCGATTTGATTCGAAATATACAGTTTTTATAAATTGTGTGTTATTATTATGCACTCCTTTGCCTTTTTTCAGAAAGCGGTATCAATTTCCCGTGCGTAATACAAAATGACTGAAAAACGGCAAACTTCGCAGGCTACTAATATTACGAAAATTACTAATTTTGTGATGCTCTTTCAACCTGTGATGAAATTTTTGTCTAGGCTTGTCTAGATCAAAACTTTGTTCATTAGGTACTGTAATAGGTCCATTAGAGCTATTAATTAAAATATAAGTTACAATTTGTACTATACAAGTAGAACCTAGCTAACTCGAACTCCCACTAACTCTCACTATAAATCCAATTCCCCCTAGATTTGATAGTACATTTTATTGTAATTTTCTCCAGTTAACTCAAACTCGTTTAAATCCAAAAGTGTTAACATGTTTTCGTTGGTAGGGATGCAACTGCCTGAAGAGACGAAGGGCCTTCGCTCCTTATGGCTCAATTATATTTTTCAGGTAGTTTCATCCCGTAGTTAATGCATCAAGAAAACATTGGAGGGAGTCGGAATATAGAAGAGAGACGTTAGTCTTATTCAACAAATTAAACTGGATCATCCCTTTCATTTCTGTATCATATCTGAACTGCATGATAAATTTATATATGGCTTTACTACATGCAGCCCAGAAATTCGGACATTAGCTGAATTCATCTAAGACGGGAAACTCGTGTGACGGATTTCCGTCTGGCCATGAGCAGAAACCTGTTAACACAGGTTAACACAGAAACACAGGTTACGAGCTGAAACCTGTCTTGATCTATTCGTCCGATATAAATTTAAGACGAGTTTTCCGTGTAAGACGAGAAACTCGTCTCACTTTCCCGTCGTTCAGACGAGAAAGTTAGATGGAAAAGTTGAGACGGAGAAACCGTCGTTAACCAAATTTGTATCTGGACAAGTTTCTCGTCTTAGACGGAAATCCGTCTTCTAATATGAATCCAGCTAATCATACAAGATCTATTCGTTTCTCTAGTATAAATTTCAATGCACGAGCTCTTTACAACAAATGTGTCGAGGGTGGAAAGACTTTGGATGTAAGAACAATAATGGAATAGAACAATCTACAAATGGCATAACCTCGTTCCCAGGCTCTTCCCTATTTAGTAGGAGAGACCCTGGCAATAGCTGTTCACGTGGCTCCCAGATTCTGGGTGTTAAATTAAAATTGTACTTAGGGAGGGGTGGTAGAGGAGTGAGCTTGTTTCACTTGGAAAATTACAAGTTGTGTGTCATAGTTTCGGGCGATAAAATTTAAATTTGCAACAAGAAATCCTGAAATATTTTGTATTTATTCTGCCACAAGTTAGATATTTACAAATTTAATAAGTGAATAGGAAAAGGCAAGGAAGCCCAAAAGAAACCAAAAGGCTTATAAAATTGGGCTCCTTTATACTACAAACTTGCTCTGATAGATATGGAGACGGTACGGTGGAAACAATAATTATACTGATATCAATATACTGATATCAAAATACAGTAATTACAGTATTAATAATGTATCATTACAGATGAATAATAAAAGCAATAAAATAAAAAATATTAAATTGTCAAATGAAGAAGAAAAATAATGAATGTTAAGGCAATTACGAGGAAAACAAGTATTTTTTTAATTTAGACTGAAATAAAGAAACACTTGACGCATTGCGAATATCGCAACTTAATGTATTAAAAAATTTCGGGGCTTGGTAACTAACTGAGAGTTTTCTAATATTTGTTCTGCAAAAGGGGATGTGATACAAGTTAGACTGACGTGTATTATAGTTATGAACTTGACTCGTGCGAAGAAAGAGGTTATCAAAACTTTTGGGTAATAAATTATTTCGATATAAATACATAAATTTCCCTAGCTGATACAAATAGATATTTTCGAATTTCAATATCTTAACTTCAGCAAAAATCGGGTCAGTGTGTGCATTAAATTTTCTTTATTAATAATTCTAACAATGCGCTTTTGAAGCAAGATAATGCGTTTTAAATTTGTTGCGTAGGCAGAACCACAAACAATTAAACAATACTGTAAATAAGGATAAACTAGAGAATAATACAATTTAAATAAGGAAGACTTTGAAAGGGAAAAACTGGCTTTGTATATGATACCTATAGATTTTGATATTTTCCTAGCAACTTGAGAAATATGAGGTTTCCAAGAAAAATGTTCATCCAAAATAACACCAAGAAAAGCAATTTCTTTTACTCTATCAATTGTATGACCGTTTAATGTTATAGATAAATCATTTACTAATCCTTTTTGTCTAGGTTTAAAGATCATATAATTAGATTTCTTTATATTAATTGACAGCTTATTAGCCTTAAACCACTCAGACAACTTTTCAATTTCACCGTTGATAATATTTCCCAAAGAAAAAAGTCCTTATGGGAGCAGAATAAATTAGTGTCATCAGCGAATAAAATCAACTCGAATATATCAGAAACATTGCCTAAATCATTAATATATAGAAGAAACAGGAGTGGCCCAAGGATAGAACCCTAGGGCACCCCACATTTTATAATTTTGTAAGTGGAAGAAGTGTCATTGTATTGGACATATTGTAGGCGGTTGAAAAAGTAACTTTTTATCCAATCAAGAGCCAATCCTCTGATGCCATAATGTTGGAGTTTATCGAATAAAATATCATGATTTACGGTATCAAATGCCTTGGAAATGTCCAGAAAGATTCCAACTGTAAATTCCCCTCGATCAATCGCCGATGTTATTCCATCATACAAGCGCATCAATGCCAGAGATGTTGAATGTTTCTTCCTAAAGCCGTACTGATTATCAGAGAGGATTGATGATTTGTCTATATAATTTGTTACACGTTTAAAAACGACTCTCTCTAATAGTTTAGAGAAAATAGGTAGGACTGATACAGGTCTATAATTTTGAAAATGTCTGTGGTCACCCGACTTGAATAATGGAATAACACGAGCAATTTTCATAAGATCAGGAACAATGCCAGATGAAATAGAAAGATTAATAATATGAGCAATAGGTTCTGAAATTACACTAAGAGAATTTTTTAAGGCCGATATCGGAATGTTATCATAGCCAGCCGCGGTTCCAGATCGCAATGAATTAATTATTTCCACTATTTCTTCTTCAGTTGTTAATTCCAGGGACATTGAATTAACATAATTACCAGATAAATAAGAACGGTGAGAAACTGTAGAATTTGGTATATCCTTGGCTAAATTGATCCCAATGTTGGTAAAATATTCGCAAAAATGGTTCGCAACTTCATTCGGACTTGATATTTCATCGTCATTGGAAACAAAAATTGTAGTTAGTTTATTGGTATGCTTTTTCCTATTAATGACTTCATTCAAGATTTGCCATGTTCTTTTAGTGTTTGTTTTAAAGTAATCTAATTGTTTATCATAGTTGATACGTTTGGCAATCCTTAAAGAATGGTTCAATTTGTTTTTATACTTTGTGTAAGAAGCCTGATTAACATCATTTGGGGTATTTAAATATCGCTTATATAATCTATTCTTTCGCCTTATAGATTTGAGAAGTCCCTTGGACAACCAAGGTTTACTCAAAGTACATTTTCTTTTCCTGACTCTTTTCAGAGGGAAACAACTATTATAGATATCTCGATATTTGTTTAAAAGGCTTTCGTACGCTTTTAGCGAATCATAGAACCCATCTAGACTATACCAGTTAAAATTGGTTAAGGACGACTGAAATTTAGCCATATTTGCTTCATTTTTGTCTCGAAAAACCATGTATATTTCTTCGTTCAAATCCGTTAATTGTTCTCGAGTAATACAGAATATTGGCAAATGATCTGATATGTCAGAAAGTAACCGCTACATAAATAGTTATCTGAGTGGTTGGTAAATATGCCATCAATAAGAGTTGCAGTATGTGACGTTATTCTGGTAGGAAGCGTTATCAAAGGAAACAACATATGACCAAACATTATATCTAGAAATTCACCAGTTGGTAAATGACCATGATTATTCAAAAGATTTAAGTTAAAATCACCAATTAAATAGCATACTTTGTTTTCTTTAGAAATCATTCCCATGAGCAAATTCAGGTTATTGTTAAAATCATTGACGTTTTGGCGTGGTGGATAATAAACAATACCTAAGATTATGTTTTTCCCTTTAATATTAGTTATTTCTACAAACAATGATTCAACACACGTTTGACTAGGGAAAACTAAATCATTGCGGAATTTGTATTCCAACTCAGTTGTTAAATATAAACCAACTCCGCCTCCAGATCTATCAGGTCGGTAGTTATGTACAAAATTGTATCCTTCGATGTCAACGGTATGCGATGAATCTTGCAACCAGGTTTCAGAGATACCGATAATCGAGAATTTATTGTTGATTGAAGCAAGCATGTACGTGCAGCGTACCTATTTTTATGGATACAATTGAATCACTTAATTTAATAAAGTGCACTCTATGACATGCACTATTTAATTGTACGGTATAATGTGGTAGTTCTTACCTTAAGACAAACCGTGACCCTATTCCTAGTTTTAATATCATTATAACCTATCATAACCTACTTTTAACTTAACTTAAACTGCAGAGTGCAGTACCGCGCGCGGTTGCGAGCGAGAAACGAGTACTTACGAATACTCGCCAGTGGAATGAGCCGACATGTTTCGACGCGCTACTCACGCGTCTGCGCTCACTCGTATACACTCACAAATCTCACTCGCAATGACTTACTATATTATTGTGAGCCGCTACGAATATAAGTCCGCCTAGTCAAGTAAGTATAAAGTTTAGCAAGAAAACGTGTAACTAATTATATATTCTAATACATATTAAATGAACTAACATGAAAGAAGGTCAGATTTGGCTTCCACTATACAGCTACCATTACCTTACTTGCTTAGTACCGATCTGATTGGTTAATCGAATATATGAAAAGCATCTGATTGGTTAATGGTCCCCGGTGGTAGCCGGTGGAATTAAGTCAAACCTGAACCTCTCTAATTATATTCCTGAGAAACACCACTATATTATTTCGCAAAATTTTTGGTCTGAAGGTCACAGAATAGGAAAGTATAGCAGAAGTGTATCTTAAGTCGGTGCCTTTGTTGTTTTACGTCCACGAAAATTTTAACTCGCTCACGCCAATCCACGCCATCCTGGCTAGTACAGCCGGATGTTTTTATCAGGTTTTGGTAGGTACAAAGTGCCGGTTGTACTAGCCAGGATGGCGTGATTGATGAGGAATCGCTTGTAAAAACGCGGACAAATATTTGCTTGAGCGAGACTTCTGCTATACCTTCCTATTCTGTGGTAAGGTGGACCTTCATCAATGCAAGGAATTTAGTAAATAGAAGAGATGTTCATCAATAGAAAAGCAAAGATCAGAATATAATTTATAATATGATAAGATGGAGGAAAGGAAGAAATAAGGGCAGAAAGAAGGGAACAAATAATATTTGAAATCAGTGGGCATACAATATAAGGAACAAAAGGAAAATAAAATAGGGTGTATACTGTATAGTGGATACGATAAGTTAAAGTAGTATCGAATCTTCTTGACGTTTTTGGCGCTAGCTAAGTATGAGTCACCGAGTCACCTAAAAAATTTAAAACAGGAAGACTTAAAGTTCCAAATTAAGAAAGAAAATAGACTGTAGTTTTCTCCAAGCGAAAAGAGCATCCCTTCTTGTCTTACAGTGTCGTTAAAAGTGAAACGCTGAATTACTAACTTCAGTAACAGAAGTTTGGCTTATTAAACCACAAACACTTTTCATTGTGTACCTGATCATGTTGGACCAAGGATATTTGTAATTCATATAGGATTGGAGTACAATTGTGAGATAGGTTATAAAATTATAGTCATTGTGTCACTGTTTACGTGATTAAGCTTTTGTTAAAATTGCTCGCAGAATATAAGAAATTATTATAGCATTTTAATGCCCCAGACGCCTTCATCGCTCGACTCAGTAAACCTAAAATCCTACTTCGGTTTTGTACGGTAAGGATAAGAGTGATCCATAGAAATAATAGATATAAACCACATTGGTCGGTCTAGAGATATGAATTTTATTCTACAGTTGTAGGCTTATTGCCACGCCGCCCAGGCGTGCTTTCTTTGTAAGTTGAAATCTGATCCAACTTTCTTGAATTGTAACTCGACACTAGATTATAGAGCAGAAAGTCACATCACGATAAATATTAATTTTTAATTGCAGTTCTCTTCACGATTTCGTGTTGCAAATTTAAATGTCATCACACAAAATTGCAAATATTGTTACAAACGCGACAAACACGCTCCTCTCCCACCCTGCCCATAATATCATTTTAATTTATCACCCAGAATCTGGATGACACGTGACCAGCCGAAACCAGGGTCTTTCCTTCGCCTCGCGCCGTTCTAAGAAAGACCCTGGGAACGAGGTTGTCGATTTTACCGCTAGTTCTTTAGATTTTAGATCGTTATCTTGAGATTTGGCATCGTGTACACTTTGTGTCGCTTTATCCGCTGTATTTGAAATCTTATCTGTTAATGCATCATTCATATATTCATATTCGACAGGTTGTTCTGCTTCGTTATTCATCATCCTTAGCGAATTCTCAGGCGTGAAGCACCGTGGAACTATGGGAGTTATATTCTGGTTCTCTTTCATATTTGCCTTATGTATAATACCGCTGTACGCACATCTTATTCGAGACTGGCGCAAGTTGACGATCCTAACGAGTTGTCTTGGGTTTCCTGCATTTATTGTTTGGTGGTAAGTTTACAAGCTTATCGCAGACTTGCTATACGAGGGTTTAAAACATTCTAAAACGAGTTGTTACAGGCTTTTGGCTGCAGCAGACGTGCAACAAGGCTGCATCAAGAAACTGCAACAGACCACTAATTCATATTAGTGGAATCATGCTGGTATACTAGTGCAAATGCTTTAATTTGATTGGCTACTCTACTCGCTATCTACCGGGTGGCCCAAAAAAAAGTACTCCTGTTTGATTCGTAATAACATCTAAACAACTATAGCTTTTAAAGAGAAATAACTTGCATCAAATAGAGGAAGGACTAACTTAGACTTTGATATGTTACAGTTGTATTTCACTTAAAAATTCACGGAGATATTAATCTTTAAATTCGGGAGGATATTTCTGGATGTGTCTGAAATATGCAAAAATCGGCGTATCAAATATTAATCAAGATTTGCCCGACTGAAACATGCACTATTACCAGTAAATAAATGACACTTGACAAATTGTTTATTATGAAACAAAGTATTATTATATCTACAAAATACAAGCAAGATTCATTCGTCCGAAATTCGCGTGTGTTCCTAGCACGAATACGTTTCCTTATTTCATGAGACCACTGCATCGCGAAGGATCGTCATTGGATCGTTCGTAGTTCTGAATTAGGGCATGCTGTCACAACGGAATTGTGAAGCTCTTCTAAATTCTGCAACGTTCTGAAATCTTGTTAAGAACACCCAAACTCTTTTGCCGTTTCTTAATCTTGGCAAGTTCATGGAGTAAACTGAGAATTATATGAAACACAATCAAACCATACAACTCCATAAGACATAACAATTAAGCAACTCCCCAGAGACATGCAACATTTTTGGAACAAAACGTAACAAAATAGTAGCGTTGATACGGTGATGTGTATTTGCAAAAAGCAATATTATTTCCTTCAATAAAGAATATTCATCCTGCTCTAACCGAGAAATAATCTACTCAGTCTGTTTGAACCCATTAAAAACATAAAAAAATTAGGCTATTTAAGAATACGAAAAATTTAAGCGCCTGCCTTCCATGGTCAGTCTTTCATGTACATTTAAGTTTGCAAAGACCTAATATTAAATACTTGCATAATTTCGAACGTTCATATTTCAGGAAACAATGAGCTAAGACTTACGTGTAAGATGTCTAAATCTACGCCATATCCCTTACAAACCTTAACGATAATTCGCTGAAATACAAGTTAGCCTAATATGTCATTAAGCAAACAAACGCTGGAGTTAATATTTGATATGCCGATTTTCGCTAATTTTAGACACATTCCAAAATATGCTCCCCATTTTTAACATTAATATATCCGTGAATTTTTAAGTTAAATACAACTGTAATATATCAAAATCTAAGTTAGTCCTTCCTCTATTTAATGCAAGTTATTTCTCTTTAAAAACTTTACTTGTTTAGAAGTTATTACGAATCAAACAGGAGTACTTTTTTTTGGGCCACCCGGTATTCCTCGATATATAGCGAGTAGCAAAACAATCATTTTCCTGGCGCATTTTTTAAAAAGAATAGCAATATTTTATGGAATATTGTGGAATATTTTATGTTTGGTCTCTGATTCTACTAAAATAATTAGATTACTCGCTCTCGAGTTCTATGAGATGAACTATCACCTCATATATTCTTTTATGCAAATATTAATAAGCCTTCCCGGCCTCGTTCAGATTCTAAAATTTATTCCTTCATAACACTACAAGCGACATCAGGTTGTGTTCGCATAAATACATGTGCCCAACGTGTTGACAAGTTGTACACACCTAAAAACGCGCAAGTTGTTACATATCTGCCATGCAAGTTGTAACAATGTTGTTGTCAAGCCGATATCAGGATGTGTTCGCATTGCTTGTTCCCACTTGTTGTGACAAGTCTGGAACAAGTTGTTATCATCTTGTTATTATTATTATTGTTATTGTCATTGTCATTGTTATTGTTATTATGATTAACTTTATTTTGACACGGTAGAATCATCAGTAAAAATTTACATAATATAGATGTATATAAAGTATAGCATAAGGAGGAAAAGGAATACAAAAAATTACATGCTATTTACAAAAAAAAAAACAGAACAGTACTGATTTACATGATTGCCTTGTGTGAGTCTAAGCTAACCAACATTCTAGACCTCGTTTAAAAGCACTAAGAGATTGTGCCGAACGAAGTTTAGTTGGCAAACTATTCCATAAAACAGCTCCATCGTAGCTGAGTGAGCGCTTCAGATAACAATCTGTAAGGTATCTGGTAACAATCTGTAAGGTATCTGGTTTCTCAATCTGTAAGGTATCAGGCTCTTCGTAACCAGTTGTTACGAGCTTGTTGTCATCAACTTGTTAAAAACTTGTTGTGTGCAAACGATATCAGACTTGTTGGAACAATTTGTTGCGAGTCTGTTGGCTTCAACAACCTTGTCACAAGACAACCTTGTCACACATAATAACTTGTTCCAGACTTGTTAACAACTGGGAAAAGGCAGTGGGAAACATCTTGTTGAGAAGCTGTGAGAGTTTTACTCGTGTAGCAGACGCGTGCGCAGCAGATTTTTTCAATGTTGATAATTTAATAGGAAACAGTTGCTCCGAGAAATGAAAGCGTAGAAGTACCTTCTTTTTAATATTCTTTAGGATATTTCCAGAATCAGTGCGCTACTACTTGATCACAGGGAAGCAGAAGAAAGCGCGGAAAGTCTTGGAAAGAGTTGCGCGATACAACAGAAAACCCATGATTGAGGATAAACTGGAGCAAGTTGCCGCAGAAGAAAAATCTTCTTTGAAAGATTTGTTTGCCACTCCAACTATCAGGAAATATACATTGTTGTCTTGCTTTATTTGGTGAGTAAGCGATGTTTCTCACTGATTTACTATCAGATTTTTGTATTGGTAAATAACAGGATTTTGAGCAGCTCACTTGATAGAACTAATTGTCGAAGGGCTTTTTTATAGATGGAAATTTCGAATGTAAATTTTATAATCTATTAGTATAGGCCCTCTGGCAGGAATCGAATCTGCTGCTCTGCCATTCCGGTGCAACGCTCTAACCAACTGAGCTACAAAATGCATGCACTAGTTGTCGAACTCTTACCGCAAGTTCATGTATAGCTCGACAACTGGACTCTATAGCTCAGCTGGTGAGAGCGTTGCAGCGAAATCGCAGGGCCGCAGGTTTGATTCCCGGCAGAGGGCTCGTAGTTGCATTTTTCGCAACTGCTCCTTGTTAGGTCTAACAAATGTATAAAATTTACACTCGAAATTTCCGTCTACAAATATCCCTTCAACAATTATCTTTGTATTATCTATTTTAGAAGTTTTTCGTTGCATCCAATCTGTATTGCTTTGTTTTAGTTTCATTCTAACATCTTTTCATTTACTATTTTAATGATTTATCTTTCACCAGCTACTTTTATATGTGCACATCTACACGTACTCTCATTTTCTTTCATTTCTAATTTTTCCTTCCATCTGCCTTCTCGTCCTTGCTAAATTATTGCCTAATCCTTTCATTAATCATTCTATTCTTTCTAACGTTCGGTGTTCCCTTCCATCTACATTTCTTTACATCCTTTCGTCCTTTTACGTTTCTTCAGTCTTCCATCCTATGTTTCCTAACGCTTTGCCTTTCGTCCGTTGCTCCCTTTTCTCGTGTGTTCTTCCATCCTTCTTTCCTACCAGCTTTCATTTTCGTTTGTTTTCTTTCAATCCTTTTATTTCTTTTGTACCGTCATTCTTTCTTGCTCATATCTTTCTTCCATCGTCTCAGGCATCTCATATTCTTCCTTGTCATCTCTTTTCTTTCCTCCCTACACTATATTCTTCTTTCCTTCCCTTTATTCTTTCCTCAGATTTTCTTATATTCTTCCTTGTTCTTCTCTTTCTACCTGAGTTGCCAATTTCCAAATAATTTTTCATCTCTCTTTCCTCCCTACACTATATTCTTCTTTTCTTCCCTTTATTCTTTCCTCAGATTTTCTTATATTCTTCCTTGTTCTTCTCTTTCTACCTGAGTTGCCAATTTCCAAATAATTTTTCATTTCTCTTCTTTCCTCCCAACACTATACTATATTCTTCTTTTCTTCCTTAAGGCCCTTTATTCTTTCCTCAGATTTTCTTATTTTCTCCACTAATCATACTTTAAAATTGTATTTCGGGAATCTTTCTTTTTCTAAGATTATATCGTCCTGTCATTATTCCCTAACTCATATTTACAATTTTTAACATTCTTTCTTTGGTACATAATCTCCCTTTTCAACAGGTGTGTTGAATCAGTTGTGTACTATGGTGTCTCATTTTCGTCTGTCTTACTTGGTGGTAATATATATCTAAGTTTCTTTATCATTAACTCGATGGAGTTCCCAGCAACTATATTGACAATTTGGACTATTGATAGGTAATGTTACTCACACCTTTTTGTTATACGGAGATTATCTGCTTTGTGTGTGTTGTATTTCCTGTTCTGTGTGATAATACAGCAAAAGTGTTTTATTAGAAAGGCTAAGATACGACGGTTCCAGTTTACTGCATGCACAGGCGACATACACGTACCCGTGAATCGGGGTACGATTTGCAACTTAAGAAGTGCAAATTATTCCGGGGTAAGGAAAGGGTATTAGTTCGCTTAAGTTTTAGTCCAATATCATTTCTCCAGATTTGGCAGAAAATGGACAACATTGGGTGGAATGATCGTGGCTTGTGCCGCATCGATCCTCGGCGTCGTGTTCAGAATGCATCAGGATTATGTTTATGACGGTAAGCTTCATATGAAGCCTGGATCCACCCGTAGGGATAGTCTAGAGTTATAGAGTTATGCTATTGATGTTTAGGTTTCCTCTTAGCCGTAATAAGTGAACAAGAGATGTGTTAATTATCCTTACTTGCAAGGTGAACCGGTTAAGCTGAATTAGCTCAATGTGCACTAAAATGTGCGCTTCAACAATTAGCTATGTAAATAAAGTTAGTTTAGTTTGTTAGTGTTTTTGGTCTTGATGTATCAATGTGTTCTTACCAGGATACTGGGTTATGACAGTGATTATGGCAATGCTTTCAAAGGGCTGCATCAATCTCTCTTTCAATGGTGTTTGGGTCTGGTCGAATGAGCTCTTCCCAACTGTTGTGCGGTAAGTTTAACTCGAATTACTCGTTACTTTTTAGATAGTAAATAGTTTAAGTGATTATAATTTCTTTCGTTTTGAAGCAACACTGGAATGGGAACCACAAATGGTCTGGCACGAATTGGATCATTTATGTCAGGATACATCATTTGGTTGGTGAGTGTGATTTTGACTGTTTCGATACCTGTCTTTTATTGGCGGGTACCAGTGGCACACTGATTTTTTGTTTATGTCTTTTCACCTCCGAATATATTGCAGTTAAATTATGTAGTTGAAACTGAAAGCATTAAAATTTGTATTTAGCTGTTCAATCATTATTTGTGTTTCACTCAATTCACTGGCCATTAAATATTTTTTGTATTATCATATTTTGTCTTCTGTATAAAGCAAAATAAAGAAAGGTACACATAATGAATATAATTTCTATAATTTAAAGCGAATCAACCGTGCGGAAACTAATTGTTTTTGAGCAATTAACTTTTTGAGGCCTAAAAATATCGGTCGGTCACGGACATTGTCCGACCCATTCGTGAAATTGTCCGACGTAAAGAGGAAACCACCGGACATTCTGTCCGACCCGAGTGTATTGGTGTCCAACCGAACTGTAGCTTTGTCTAACGTAAATCAAAATGTACCCTAGTCCAGGACTAGAGGCTTGTATAATGGAGAATCAGAGTAGTGCATAAAAAGTGGAACTGTTGTTTTAATGTAATCGAGGGCGGGGCGGCGAACGAAATGGTGAAGTGAAAAATGGGCTTAAGTTGTCGAACTCTTACTGCTGTTCTTGGCAAGCAATAACGTTAATTTTGGCTTGGAAATTAACGGCCGGGTCCAGCACATTTGCCGCTCAGAATTAATACATTGTGCTGATATTAATTTGCGTCATTCGGACTTATTTCCGAGACAAACTGAACTGAAGGTTATCGGACATCATCACTATATGTCCGACCCAAACTCAAAGTCATCGGACATTTTGTCAGACGGCCCTATAAAAGATATTTTAAGGCCTGTTTTGCATATTCCAATGATATGATTAGTCCAGTCAAATCACTATAAGTACATGGTCCTGATCAAAGTAATCGCAATAGATTTTTTTTCAGCGGTAAAGTGTGTGAAAAGTTGTTCTGATTAACATATTACAGGTAAACTACGTGAAGCGTTCCTCTTTTGAGTTCCTAACTCATTTGGAATTTTCAAAATTAGATTTGCAAATTTGAGAAACCCTTCGCAAATCCCTTGAGGGAATTTGCAATTTTCCTGTCGGCCGTTGCAATATTCCAACGCAAAGAAAGTTCCTTTCAAATTTTCCTAACTTCCTGTTTTAATTTCCTAACTTCCTGCTCTGTTCTGAGCGTTTTCATTGGTGGATTATTTTTGTTAGCCAATTGCAACGCACAGAACAGAACAGGAAGTTAGGAACTTGTAACAGGAAGTTAAGAACTTCTAACAGGAACTGAGGAAAATTTATTTTGCTCTTAAGAACATTGCAAATTCCCTCAAGGGATTTGCAAGGGAGTTTTGCAAATTTGCTAAGGTAATGAGTCTAATGACGAAAATTGTGTTACTCCGAGTTCTTTTTGTTTTACATTTTATTCACTTTTAAAGGAGTATTGCTAATAAAACTTTTACAAAACATGTGTTCGTTGTCTTATCGTTTTTAAAAAGCGCTAGACTATATTACTGAGCCCGTTTCTACAACATAACCGCTGACTAAGCGCTAGACTATCTCGCTGAGCCCGTTTCTATAATATAACCGCTGACTAAGTTCCGGTCTTTAAAGCTGTTTCTTAATTGTTTTCTCACGCGGCTACACTCTCCCCTCCTTCTTGAATGTCGTCTCTGACATTTTGGATCCGTATCTTCTTCAAACGCAACTGTTCCCAGTTATAAGTATCCTTAACAATTCAGACACTCGAGTTGGTTGATCAGGCCAGCTCACTAACCGAAACTTAATCTCTCTGTTCAAGACACTATAGATCCTAAATACGTAAGTTACCTTACTTTAGCTAATTTGTATCAAGTACAATGAAATCCTAAGTGAAGCAAATGTTTTTTTTTTTTAAATTTAAATGTGAACGTTTAATATGTTTACTTGTTCCTCTTTGTCTTCTAATACGTTGGATAGTAACCAAAAGGCGGTGGTGATATCATAGGGTTCATAACTTGTGCGTGGAACATGGGATTCTGTATTGGGCTCATCCACGGTACTGATATCATCGGAGGTTGTATCGGTCCAATCCAAGGTGGGCCGAACCAGGGATCTCGTATTTGAACTAATCCCACGTTAGGGTCTTGCCAAATGAAAGGAAATTCACTCGTAGGACAACCAGGTGCATTGTACCCAAAACGTAAGGGTGGCTGTCTTTGCCTTTGTGGACGAACCGGTTGCGGCGGTGTTTCTTCGATATCACCCGGCGTTTCCATCGTTTCTTCTACTTGTATGTTCAGCCTGTTCGCGTCATTTTCATTACCATGTACTTCCCTACTCTGGTTAATCTCGTCATTTGTACTTGGGTCCACTGTCGCGTCGTTTGCCGACTCTGGTCGTAAGCTTAACTGTACAAGTTCGTCCATTTCGTTTGGAGGCAGCGACAGTCCCTCCTCCCCCTCCGAATCTGATTCTGAATCCTCTGGGGTGTGTATAATCGGGGTCCGTTCTTTCACTTTCTCTACCCGCTTCGTCTCTGGCGTTGCTGTCGGTAAATAATCACAAGGTAACAGTAAATTTCTGTGCAACGTGCGTATCTTTCCCTTTCCTGATTCGGGTTTGATATCATAAACAGGACTCTCGGTATTCTTCCTCGATACCACTACGTGAATCTCCTCTTCCCAGAACGCTCGTATTTTGCCTGGACCTCCGCGTGGTGATAGGTTCCGAACAAGCACTCGGTCACCAGGTAAGAGGACAGTCGACCTTACGCGTTTACCGCTCTGTTTCCTTCCCTTAGACGCCGCTTTCTCCGCAGACTTGGATGCTAACATGTAAGCTTCCTGCATTGCTTTCTTCCATTTATTGGCATAAGCTGGATAACCGATTGATTCTTCTTTTCTTGTTAAGTTAAACATCAAATCAATGGGAAGACGAGGCGGTCTACCAAATAGTAGCAAGAACGGGGAGAAGCCAGTAGATTCATGCTTCGTACAATTATACGCGTGTATTAGTTTGTTCACATGATCCTTCCAATTAGACTTGTACACTTCGGGTAACGTTCGCAACATGTGTAGCAAAGTCCTGTTCATCCGCTCCACCTGGCCATTTCCCTGTGGATGATAGGGTGTCGTTCTTGAATG